AATATGCCACCCATTTTGTATATTATAAATATATGTATATATATTGAAAATAATGTGCTCCTGTATCTTGAAAATAAAAATAACGAAATATTTAGCAAAAAAAAAACAAGCAATAATTACTATTTTTATAATGACGAGGTTTAATATTTGTAAAACCTTGTTCCGTAGACTCGGTCGTAGTTTTGTTACAAGTTTTCTCGTACAATCTTTGACGATTCAAATAAAGTTTTGCTAATGGTTTCATATCCAAACCAGATGGATCATAAAACGGTGACCTCGAATCATTCGGATAAGTCGAAGTAATACGTCGAATGGATTCCTGTGGTTCTGTCGGTGAATTTGGAGACTGTAAAACAAATTATTTCATAGATCATTGTAATAAATTAATATTTACATGCATACGTGGGTATTAACATTGAATGATATTTTAAACTTTGATTTGTTTAAATCAGTTTTATCGAGTCAATTAATATTTAAATAAAAAATTATCATTCAAATTGATTTCTTTTTTTTACTATTATTTTAAATAAATTCTTTTCAAATTATTAATCAATTATTTATAGAATTATATATCTTTTCTCTTCTCTCTGATTTTATATATATATAATTATAATATATATATATAATAATGTAAAAATAAATGAATATACTTATACTTAAAATATTTAATTTCCTATAGTGATTATACTTATTCTGACATAATTTATCCCCCCATAACTTTCTTCCATTCTACCACCCTACCCCTCAGTTTTTATTTCTTACTAGATATGTTATACCATCGTCGGTTCCTGCATCGTACGGATACAAATTTAATTCTTTATGCTCGATCCATGTACAATCTGGCAAACATAATTCCAATCCAGATACACCAACTAACCAATCGGGTGATGGATCTATTAAAAAACGTTTAAAAACAAAATTATTATAATAATATTTAACAAGCAAACATCAGTGGCGGATTAAGCTCTAAGCGGATTAAGTTGGACACGGTTCCTAAAATTTAAAAGTCTCTTTTTAATTAGGTTTAAAGGAAGTAAATGTCATTTTTTTAATTATTATACTTTTTGTTTGTTAATATAATAATTTAATAGGAATTATTATTATTTCTAATTCGAGTTTAAGGGTTTTCATGAAATTTGTATTAATACAGGGTTCCTGTTTAACTTGACTTAATCCGTCATTGACAAATATAAAGATAATTATTATTGGAACATAATTAATCGTACCGATCATCGAAATCAAAGACATCAAATGATGTTTGCGATCTACACGAAATACGGCAAAAGTTCTACCGGTTACGTTAGGATAACTGATTCCTCGTGCTTTTATTATTGTCCTGATATGTTCACTCTAAAAAAAAAAAACAAAATAATGGAGAGACAAAAAATAGAAAAGTATTAAATATAAAAGGAAAAAGAACAAAATCGGATTAAATAAAATCTATCATCTAACGATATTTCAATTAAATTCAATTAATATACTTGATTTTTTAATTCGGATTCCAATCTTCTAGTTGATCCAAGCTCGGCAACTTGTTTTAAACCTATACTTGCGTATCCATTGTATTCCCAAAATCGGTAATCGACAGTGTGAGATGCACCGATCACGTCAGAAAATCTTATAAGCCAACCTTTGCTTGGAAAATCCTAAATGGAATTAGATTAGAATTTATTTTTTAATTTTATATAAAATATTATAATGAACAAAATATAATAATCATATTCTCTTATTATCATTTGTATAAGATAATAATTTAAAATCAATGTGTTTCCCAAACCAACAGAAAAACAACATGGCCGCTTCCCCCACTTCTTCTTCAGAAACAAAAACTTTTTATATATATATATAATATATAATCTAAATTATTATCTTTATTAAAAATTATTTCAATTTATATCGATATGATGTGTGTGTGTGTGTGTGGCATTTAATTTTAATTTAATAATATTGGATTCACGTCACGTTGTAGATTGAGGTTATAAACAAAAAAAAAGAAAGAAAGAATAAATATTGTAGGTGTAAAAAAGAATTCTACAGAGTATTATCGATACATTTGTTTATTCGATTTGTTTTTTAAATAAAACAATAACATTCCCATCAAGTTGTTAATAAAATCTACCATATTGACGGAAGTTTCATAATAAAAAAAAGTTTATTACAAATAAAATAAACCCAAATTGGTTTATTTTTCTTTCTAGTTTAATTAACCCCGTTAAATGAAAAATTAAAAATAATCGTATTAAATAGTATGACGTATGTCTTGGGTTTGTTTTTTTATTTTTTTATATATATAAAAGTAGACCAAGTAAAAATTTTGCAAAAAATATCAGCTTAAACCCGCCTATGTTTGTTGAAGTTTGGGAAACACGTTGCTTTTCGAATGTTTTACGATAATATATGATCAAAAGAATACGATAACTGGGGCTCGTATTTTATAGGTTGAGAAATAAACGTTAAGATGAAGTTTTATAGTTGGTGATTTAAAAAGATGAAAGATATTAAGAGAAGAAGTGGAAGAGCAGACAGCAGCAAATGGGAATTTGTTTTGATTAACACACACATACAAACACACACACTCGTTGCAAGAATATGTATATAAATATATATATATATATATATATATATATATAAAAAATGGAGTATCTTTTTCTTAACGTTTGAATCAGCACATGCCTTCGGGTGTGTATTTCTAGACCAAAGCCCTTCGAATGTAACTTCATACTTGGCCTCGTCACAAGCACAACATTTTTCAAGAACCGGACCCTGATCATCGGCTTTTGCTTTTGTATCTTGACAAATGTTTAAAACCAAATTCGAATCGTCCATATACCAAGTGTCCGGTGTTTCCAAAATGGTTGCTCTGTTGTAATCGAATAAACGAAAAATAAAAGAGTAAAAATAAGAAAGAACAATTACCTGTTATTAATATTAACCATATATTAATATTATATTATACAGTATATTAAAATAATAGATTTTTGTTTATTAAATAAAATATATTTGATAAAAATCATTTTTTTTGTATTTTTCTTTTRAATTAGAAAGATTACCTAATTAGTACACAACCGCTACCTTCCGCAGGGCTTGTCCAAGCAACGGAAACTCGTTCTTT